ATTTTAAAATCCCAATATAATTAAAGACAGGAAAAAATCAAAACGATTTTGGGAAAATTCAGTTATTCCATCACTCTCCGGAAGTACTTTGAATTTCGAAACTTTCTAATTGTCATTTAGGCGACTTCGCATCCCTTACAGTTTCCAAAATCCCAATGGTGAGTGCCGAATTTGAAACACCCTGTATATGCAGACTCTCACGAGAAGAAAGAAGTAAAAATACTATAAGGATTTAATAACGTCTTTGAATAACAAAGGGTGTTATACACTAAATAGCTAAAACGGCTGAGCATAACTACAAGTATCAAGATCTGCTTACATAGGTATAAATTTCACTTCACAGAGTTCCCAACATGGACAAAAAGAACGAGACTACGAAAATACATAGAGGTAAGACTTAAATCGCGTAATTCCGCATTTTGCAATTGTAACAAAAATTTTCAAAAGGTTAGTGATCGTATTGATTATGCTTCTTGAAAGTTTTATCCTCTATTTTTCGGATTTTTCATACTGTATTCATAATCTTCATTTTGCCACTACCGGGTCAATAAACAAATATTGAGCACAAAGCACTTTGGCGCTGCCTGATATTTTAAATGGAATTTCATTGAAATTTCTTCTGCCACTTGCTCACCCGAAAATGTTACAAAAACTTGTTTCTGTAGAACTGTGGCTCTGTTTTCTCCACAAAATTCAGTTTTTTTTTGGGTTTCAGTAGGTCAGGTCTTCAAGGTCTTCATCTTCTTGGTATATCGCTCAGTTTTTTTACACCGAAGCAGCCGCGCACTTGAAGCCTACCTGCCAGAGTACCGCGGCTGCTCTGAGGAGCTTAAATGAACTTTGTTATTCCTATTTTTGAACTGCCTAAAGTTAGTAGAACTGGGAAAAGCTCCTCATGTAGATTTTTACACTATCTCGACAACCTCGGGACAAAGGAGCGGTCTTATCGGCCAGTTCTGGATGTTCGAAGTTCGACACGGCTACGATGAGAAGCCGAAGTCAGGCAGGCACATCGCGCGGCGACACCATGGAAGAGAGATCTGAGGAGCAAAGCACGTTGGCGTAGCTAGATCGACAACGGCCCGTCGGTGCCCACACCGTCCATTAGAGACAAGTAATCGATCTTTAAATTCCTTTTGCGAAGCAATTTTAGTCCTCAAGATAGTTCCGACATAGTTTGATACCTGTCACTGCTTGACTGGTCTCCTCTCATCTGTCAGTAGGTTCTGTATATGTACGAACAGTGGATTAGCTGTCGGCAAACAGTCAGAAACTATACGAATAGGTAACATCTCTCTGATTCTGATTTTGACAGTCACCGACAGGTTACTGACTACTGTACGAACAAACCAATAATGTACCCCAATATGCCGAGTACTCGTACCGTTTACTTGTAACAACGTAAATTTTGTCTTAATAAGTGAAAATTTCCAAATTACCGTTAGATGTAAAATATGTAAAAACATGAAAACCTCGGCACCCAGCTCCACTGAATGGACTTTTGAGTTTTTTAGTGGAATGCGTTTAAAATACCGTATACAGGGTGTTTCAGAACTATGGGATCAAACTTGTAGGGGTTATTCAGAGTAACAGTAGAAAACATTTAGTATAGGGACCCATATCCGGAAAAGTGTCGCTACGGCCCTAAGACGCGTTAAAATTTAGAAAGACGATGAATTGCCTAAATAAGATTCAATGCATTTAATTTTTCCCTTTTGTACATGATATCATCACAACAATTGTTCAAAATGTCTTCCTCCAACCTGAATACACCGTTCCTGTGGGGACATGTAAATTCTTTGGTTTACGAAACTCCAGTAGAAACATAGCAAGACTTAATTGGACGAATTACAGCAGCATTTGAAATCTTTCAGGTTGGAGGAAGACATTTTGAACAATTGTTGTGATGATATCATGCACAAAAGGCAAAAATTAAATGCATGAAATCCTATTTAGGCAATTCGTCTTTCTAAATTTTAACGCGTCTTAGGGCCGTAGTGACACTTTTCCGGATATGGGTGCCTATACTCAAATGTTTTCTACTGTTACACTGAATAATCCCTAGAAGTTTGATCCCTTAGTTCTGAAACACCCTGCATAATATTTTACCTATTAATTTTGTGCGCTGCTTTGCTATAGTTTTTATTTTTCTAAGATTTATTTTCTCTGTTTACTTATACAAGGTGGCCAATATGTGACTGACTGATTTAAATTGTGCGCCATTTTTGATACCGGTATTTCAGTAGGTGGTGCCGTAGTAGTTGTTTAAAGCACATGTGTACAATTCATCATGGAGCGCTACATGATCCCACAACGCGTCTGTATTGCTAAAACGTTTTACTTAACTAATCAATTGTTGCAACGATTCAGAAGCTACGTCAAGATTTCGGACGAAATAATGTCCCCAGTGTCGACACCATTCATCGGCGGAAATTTGATCAAACAGGTGAATAAAGACTTGCCAAGGTCGGGCAGTGTTCGAACTGTTCGTACTCCGGAAAATATCGAGCGAGTTTGTGAAAGTGTAGTGGAGCGCCCTGAGACATCTACCAGACATCGTTCTCAAGAACTGGGTACTCGGCGCACGTCATTATGCAGTATTTTAAAATTGCGCCCATACTAAGTTCAGTTAACCCAAGAACTACAGCTTAGTGAGAATAAAAGTCGCCGACAATACAGTCATGCGATATTGCGGCTAAATACCCAAAATAACGATTTTTACCGACAACTGATAATGAGCGATGAAGCTCACTTCGATAAGAACAGATTTGTTAATCAGCAGAATTGTCGCATCTGGGCATTAGAGAACCCTCGTGTCATCCATGAACGGCCATTCCACCTCGTCGAGTCACAGTTTAGTGCGGTGTTTGGTACGGAGGTGTCATTAGACCTTACTTTTTTTGAAGGCGCTGCAGGTAATTCTCTTACTGTCACTGGCGGTCGCTAAAGTGATATGGTTCAAAACTTTCTGGCTCCTCAAATCCAACAATTTAAGCTGCAAAACATGTGGTTCCAGCAGGACGAGCAACTTGTGACACAGCTAGGGAAACAATGAATCTTTTGCGAACTATGTTTCCGGAACGTTTAATTTCTCTTTTTGGTGATGTCAACTTGCCACCAAGGTGACCGGATTTACCGGCTCCTGACTTTTTTATTGGGATTTTTGAAAAATAGGGTTTATGCCATCAACCCAAATACTGTGGAGCAGCTGAAGAACAATATTACGGATGCGATTGAAAATATTCCTTCCGAAACCTACCAAAAAGTGATGTTAAATGTTATCAAGAGGGCTCAGGTTTACGCGGCTTCTAGAGAGTGATATTATCTTTCATACATAATTTCTAAGTTTCAATACAATATTAAGATGAAAAAAATGGACGTATTTTATTTCATTTCACAAATATTCAAGATACAAACCAGTCAGATACATATCGGCCATACATATTCAGGTGTATAATATACCAGTTGACCTCATTAAACAGAACGAAAAAGTTCCGGTTAAATTATATATTTTACAGATGACTTACTTCATTCCGTCTAGTATTGATATTTTTAATTGGATTACGAGTGGTTCAGAGGGAACTCTGTGAATCTTTGGTAGGCATTAAGGGACTCTGTATATACCATACTTCACGAGCATTCATCACGCTTTGACTTCTACTGAGTTGAACAGCTGATCAGCAAGTGACATTTTTGTGTTACTCTGCAACGTTGGCAATAATGGATCGGGTATAAATCTAGTAAAACTTGTTTGTGGCCTTTTGTTTTTTTGTATCCAAAATAATTTTTGTAAATAAAAGAGCTGTTAGCTAGTATAAAATGAATCTGTAGCGTACAAAAAACCAAAACAAAATTCGGCTCTGTCTACCTGGCGTTCACGGATCCGTGTCCTGTCCAGATATGGGTAAATTTTAGATATTACTAGATAATTAGCTGTCATTCTACCGAAATGGATACTCGTGAAATAGGGTATATGTTATATTTGACCCAATTACCCCAGGAGCGGCACTAGCAAATTTCAACAGATTCTTTAAAAATTTAACTAAGCACATCACTGGTTTCTTTGTCACTGCCGTCAAGAGATTTTTAGACGAAAACATATTTTCTGCTGCTTGAGAACAAGTAGTGTAGAGTTGCGACTAGAAACAAGACCCACAGTTTTTGGTAGAACCATATTAATATTCAAATACTGGAATACTATATATTTGACCTCATACAGATCAAAAGCTGTGAGATCTATTATTTCTTAGCTAATGAATAAAACCGGGGAGATTAAGGAACATTTTCACTTTATTTCTGTTGTTAGACTCAATTGCCTGACCGGTTCAAACCACAAATATCTTTGAATTTTTTTCAAGTACAATGTCAATAATGACACTATAATGTATATTTTGTTTGTTTCTCGTCCTGGTGACAATTCATTTATTCGGGCAAACAAGGACAGTTACATTATTTCTTCTAGTTTCACATTAGGTTCATTTTTATAGGTACAAAATCTAAAATTGCAAATTGAGTCATAACACATAAATAAAGTATGAATTCAAATATACTAGTATTTCTATAGTTAATATGCTTCAATCAAAAACTGTGGGTTTTGTTGTTTTTTCGTCTCCTGATGAACAAATTACGAGCGAACCATATTTCTGTTTAAATCTCACTTTTATTATTTAATGAAGTTTTCTAATTGCAACTGTTTAAACTACTTCTTCTCAAGCAGCAGAATATTTTTTCGTCTAAACATCCCTTGACGGCACTGGTAAAGAAACCAGTGACGTACTTAGTTAAATATCGAAATACCCTGTTAAAATTTGATAGCTCCGCCCATGGGGTAATTGGGTCAAATATAACACACAGTTTTCGCCTCAATACCAACTGTCGATTCAGAGTTTTCTCTAAATCACACAAGTAATCTGAGAGGAATTGAAAATATCAATATTAGAAGAAATTAACTTGAATATTTTGAATCCTCTGGATTTCAAGTTAACTATTATTTTTCTGTAAATTCGGTTTTCAATATCTGGTTAACACGCTACGGTTTATCTGGCAACGCTGCCTCTACATCTGATATATCGTGGGTTGTGACGCTCGATGTTTGTATCATGCCATCCGCGACAACTCACAACAAACCTACCATTTTAAGAGTTTACTTCTGGTTAACTTTAAAATCACGGTTAACCTGCAATTGGAAAACAGGGCCTTAAAATAGTAACTTAACGTGAATTTTTTGTTCGGTTTAATTGAATGTATCAAATGGTATATAATAAACCCAAATAATCACATACATACATAAACGGAATTAAAAAAAAGTTAAAAACAATTGGAAATCAAAACCCCACAAAATGTATAGGTAGCCAAAACCTGTTACTAGAATCGATCGGATTTTATACTTTCCGACACCGTGTTGCATTCAGTTCTAATAATTATAACAAAGTCCAGTTATCTCGATTATTGTAATGTTTATTCCATTACATTTGCAAACTTTGGAAAATATTAACAGTATGTGTACATGTACATAAATAAAATAAATAATATTGCCGTAAAATGAAATATGTATATCACATGTAATGATAAAATACAATGCAAGATATTATATCCTAGTTAGTATCCTTAGACGATCCAGCACTTTGCTGCAAGTTCAAAGAACTGACATCTCCAGTATTACAAGGAATACTAGGTATCCTGGACCCCTGCTTTGAGAAACCAGTGTATTCGGTGGGCTTTATAGGAGGTGGCAAGCAAATGGTTGGAGTCTCTTCAACTTTATCCAGAAGTGTTTCCTTCTTAGTATCCTCCTTTTCTATCTCCTCCAAAAATGGTAAAACGAAATCATTCTTCCTAACTGGAGGAACTTCCACTCTAGGCATTTCAGCTGCAGAGGGAACTAAAGGGCTTTGCATTATGGGGCACCCAGTACCCATAGGACTAAATGGATCTGGAGTGAAAGACATTGTTGGGGATCGTCTGGACTCTCCTAGATCTTCTATTATACTATTTTCCGCGCTGATATCCGAGAAATCTATATCATAGTTGATCTTTGACAAGCCCAGATAGCTATTATCGTCTGGTGTTATACTTTCAATGCTCTTATCAGCAGCTGGCGAGGGAACAGACAGGAAATCGGTAGACAACGAAGGTTTGACCACAGATGCGCTAGGCAAGTTGACACAAGGTGTTATATCCAACTGTAACTTTGGCTTATTATCACTCAGACCCATCTGAGTTAGCGTTATATTCTGCTGATAAAATTTGGGGGCAGTATCCACATCTTGGTTAATTTCCACTTCTTTTCCTTTATCTGGAATGGGTGGTTTCTCTGGTAGGGGTGGCAAGGACTTTAAAAATTCCATTGTGAGTGGGAAGATCGTCTTCCTTGGTTTGATCACCAAAGGAGTGCGTTCCAATACAGACGTCACCTCATCGTTTATCTCCTCTTTTAATTTGCGCATGTCATCTTTTAGCTTCTGCGTGTCGTCTTTCACAGCTGACATGCGCTCGGATAAGCCTTTTAGGAGAGAAAGGTGTTCACACAGTTGATGCATGCCTTCACATGCCACCAGGGCTGATTCCCAGGCACTGACACATGTCACTTCTCCTGACATGTAAGCCTCGAACTCCTAAAAGGAAGAAAACCCTTAATAAACCAACATAAGAAAAATGTAAAGGGCAAAAAAAATGGCGTCATGTAGGTTGACTTTGCACTTTCCATGCGACACTGTCATCAGTTCATAAAATGTTCGGGACAAATTAGACGCTACGAGAAAAAAATAGTTACATCCACGTATAACAAAAACATTAAATGAATCAAGGCTCTAAAACAGGCCCATACAATTTATTAGTCCATAGTCCCAACCCATCTGACAATCTTGCAATATACAAATGTCTCCTCCGCCCTACGAACAGTACCGACCAGCTGGCAACGTAGCTATAACTAACATCGCCACTCGTCTGCCGCGGCACCATCGACACTAAACGCTCATCGGTTGTATCGTGACGTGTTGACAATATTTCTTTCATTCTTTGTTTTGTAGTCAAATGTACGGGAAAATATATGTATGAAATATGTCGAATAGGTACGTAGAATTGGGGTTAGTGTAAAAATACTAACTTCAAAACTGAGATATACCAACCCCTACATGATCAATTTTTAACCCCTACAAAAACTTTTCTGAAAATGCGAGCCTCTGAAACACCAAGAAACGAAGTCTGACCGATATTTTTTTTCGATTTTTGCCCCTAGCTCCTCCGCCACTGTATCGATTTTCAAAAACTACAAAGCTTTTTCGGCCTTGAAATAGTAGTGACCTTGTGTGAAAATTTCATGAAAATCCATCAGTACTTCCCAAGTTGTAGACGTGCCAAGGATTAGTGGACAGACAGACAGATCGACATAAATGAGTCACATTGTTTTTGTGATTTATTAGGGACCATTCAAGAATTACGTAAGCACTAAAGAGGGTAATGGAGTTCTTCGGTATGATTGTTTTTGACGTGTGGGATGGCGGTCTGGATGGTGATTACGTTAGCAGTATTTATTTTTTATTTTTTCGGATTTTCTATAAAATTTAGTCGATCTTGATTGGAACTCGTATGGCAACCCTGCTTGTCTATGCTCGAAAGCGAAACGCATCTTCTGAGATTCTCTAAATATGGATATGCTTACTCGCTTAGAACCTTAGCTCTAAATGCTCCTGGTAGAAATACGTATAACCGAGTTGAACGCAGAATGGCTCCTCTTGATCGGGAACTGGCTGGTTTGATACTGACTCATGACCATTTCAGGCCATTTTGGCCTTATAGATATCCAATTACGAGTTTGCTCCAGCAATCTATTAGCAGAGCTTTGGAGTTTAATGGAAATTGATGGTTAGCTGCGAAGTATGTTAGGTAGCGCGAACCAGATATTCTTGGTTCTCCAGACATTAAATGGTATCGAGGAGATGTGCGTGAAAGCCAACACCTGCTTCAAATTGTAAAATGTACCAAAATGTTAACCTAAACATTGGAGGGGTGGTAAGAGATTTTGTTACTTTAACTGACAAGGGGGAGGGGTGCTTAATAATTGCGAAAAAAAATTACTTGCGTAATAAAATGGAACGTTCCGTTATCACGTTTTATAACTTCCAAAAAATATAATTCATTTACGTTATGATTTACTTATTTTTGTGCTTACTAACTATTGGAGTTATGGACGTTATAACATACATAGCAATATTAGAGAGTTTTGGCCATCAAAATACCATGTATGTAAATGTTGTGATTGCCAAAACTATTTAATGCAACAACCTTGATCTTTTTTTTTTAGAAAATCAGTATGTTGTTAATCATATTATTATAAATTATATACCATGTATACAGATAAGTGAAAATTGGCTATACAATATTTCCTTCTTTCATTGTACACAATTTGTAATTTTTGAATCATATTGTGACGATAAATAGTACTGTTGGCGCCATCTGTCTGTCTCCTACTCGCCAGAGCTTCATGGCCGATCTTTTACCCGGACCACGACCGCACAAGGCGGTGTCTGTGAGGACCGTGGCAGCCTTCTAGATCGACGCGAAGTAACCTCGACTATTCTGGAAGGCCGCTATGTGGCTCCCGATTCGTCTCTACTCAACGCAACGATGTGGACTAATAACTCGGCGGCCGGGAGATGGAAGCAGAGTACGGAGAACGGTAGAGTAGCAGAGCAGAGTGGAGTATAGTTCAGTCAATGGCGCGACATAAGAAGACATAAATAGTGGTGTATATAAATGTTTTATCAAGTTAAATAAATTAATGCATTTCTTTTTGTGGAATCCAGTGTATCCACACCCAAAAGAACCCAGAAAAACGCTAAAATATTAATAGCGTAATCAACAAAAAAAAGGAGAAATTCTATATATAGTGTCGTGCATTTTGTAGAAATTGTCCAATTTGCAAGAAAGTATTGTATCCGACTAAACTTTCAAAATTAAGATGTGACGTTGTTTTTTGGATAATGCAGTGTAGCTATATCACCAAAAACACGTAACTCTTTTACGTTGGTCTGCAGTTCTTGGCATCTCTATAATTTGAAAATGACCCCTCAGGTTTTAGTGAAATTTTTGCATATTGCTACTAACATTCAAGTACCAAAAAGGCTTGTGAGTTTTGAAAATCATTCCAGTTGGGGGAGTTATGAGCTAATAACGAAAATTTTCTGAAAACGAACTTTGAGAATGGTCAAAAATTGTTTTGGTCAGAATTTGCAAAACATCCCTCGTTTAGTAGTAGTAGCAGTAGATTTTTTACGAATAGAATAAAACTAATAAAGATACGTTACAAATACGAGTACACGTTATCTATAATAGAAGGAAAAATAAATTAAGACATCATTTCTATATAATAAAAAATAAATGTTCATTTAAAAACTGCATCCTCCTCTTTTGAAAATGTTAATAATGCCTTATGCAACCTATATACCTGATTTTTTTTATATGGCTTTGTAGTGAATTGAATTTTATTAAGCACTTAAAAAAAGATTACGCATACATGTACCATAATTTAGTCTTGTAATACGAAAATTGTCCCTAAGCCTTGTATCATGATCACGTATTTCATTATTGATGATTATGAACTTTTCAAAATATTTGGTATGAATTTAACATAAATGAAATTGGTGGAAAACGGTTACACTGTAACAAAATCAAGGGATACTCATATGTATCCCTTGATTTTGATGTTTTTGTAGCAGCAATATTTTGTTTTAATTAAATAAAAAGTAGTGCAGCCCGATAGTCAAAGTGAGACCCAATCATGCATTTGTATGTAGTGACTTAATCATAGAAACTCGGAAATTTTAATATATGAGTAAAAAAGAACATTTATTTTCAAAAGTTTGTTAATTATACCTACATACACTTTGCATGTTTTTTTCGTGTCAAAGAATTGTCAACTATAAATCCAATATATCTGAATCCCATAACTATTTCTATATCATCATTACCGACCCGAATACCATTGCTTTTGTTTTTCTAGTATCAAGTTTTCTTAATAAATTATTAATGATGATCCTGGAATGTAATACATATCATTTATCGAAATTATAAATGGTATTGGCATACACTGCCCTGAGAAACTACCTTGTCATTTAGTACCTCTGTTGTCACTGTATCGATGATTTCAATTTTTGAAGTTGATTACACAAATAATTTTTAAGCCACTCCGGAACTGTCCCAGATTTTTGATAATAGTCCAATTTTTTAAGTAAAATTTTACGCTTGAAAGTTTCAAAAGCTCTTTGGAAATCTAGGAAAACACATTCCTACTAGGAGTTTATTTTCATCAATGTATTTTTGATATATTGAAGTGATGTTTCACAGATTGCTGTCTCAAAAAGATTATTTGTGTCGAAATATTCCTGAAGTTGAGTATAAACTGCAACTTAACAAGAATTCTTCAAGTGACGGTAAAGTATTTATTGGTCTGAAATTATTGAGATCTGTAGATTTTTATTTTCGGGGTTCGTATTATGGTACTCCCTTTAAAATCATCTGACTTGTTAATAAAATTTAGTAAGATATGGCCAAATACATTAAATGTTTCTTGTAAAAATTTACTGTCAATAGTTTGACCTATCGACATTAAAGAAAAAAACGAACAATTACGTAGCAAGCTGAAATTTTCAGGGTTTATTCTACATGGATTGAAATAGTTTTTACAATAAAATGAATAATAAAATACCTCAATTTTTTTACCGCCCTCCAAAGTTGAGGGATGAAAGAGATTTTTCCCAAAAAAATGAATATAAGATTTTTTGCGTTTATTTCTAATAAGCTCTGTTAAAATGTGACATAACCATTGTTAAAACTAACCATTTAGCTCATCTCAAAAAAAAATCACAGCCCTAAACCTAATGTTGTAGTTGTAATTGCGATTGAAAGTTCATTATCCCGTTTTTTTTTTGGAAATTTCACAAAATTACAAATATCTCCTGAACTATAAAATTTCGGACCACATATATAAGGGGTTCATTCGATAGGTTTTGAGGCCCTCAATCACCTGACTTCCGTTGATCCACTACTAACTTTACACCATGTGTATATATATATATGTGTGTATGTATGCATACATACACTGAAAAACAAATTTACCTGACAGCTTGAGTTCAATGTGTATAAGAGAGAAGTGTTTATAGGCACATATGTTAGAAAGAGATAGTAGCTGGCTAGATAGCGAAGCTCATCGCCAAGTTACTTAGCAACGCAATATGTTACACCAGTTCCTTGAATTAAGATGCATATTGAAAATATGTGTTAGTTTATTCTTTACACCCAAATAATGGTTTTATTTTGAATTCTGAAACATTGCATCATTGGTTCATTTGATGACACCGCGTCTTGTACATTCCAGGCAAGGTTTCCACCTCCACTATCAAAGTTGAGCGGTTTTGGTCACTACCCATCTAGCGCTCGCAGGGGAGTGTGGTCCTGCTTTCATCTGTGTACACGCAGGTAGTGATAATTTGTATTGCGTAACGTTATTTGTTACATTTTTCGACAGCACTGCGGTCGGAAAATGTAACTCAGGGATTATATCCCCTTTGGTGGAAATCAAAAATAATTCTAAGAGTAATTAAAACACTAAGTTGCATTGAAATTGAAATAAACATATGATTTTAATTGAAATAAAAACAAAATATTAAATGAAATGTTTGAACAGATCTCCTTGGGCTTGACAGTTACATTTTCTCGTGTAGCATATTCGCAACGCGGCATATTGCACGACCTTCTGCGTTCCCGTCCCTAGGCAATGTGGTGCTGACCTTCTCTGACCAGCCACCTTCATCTTCTTCTTCTTCTAACATACACACTTATCGTGCTTCTCTCTCGTACACACTAAACTCAAGCTGTGAGACAAATTTGGTTTTCCATTTATATGTGTATGTATATGTATTCAGCATCTATATTTAGGTATATACATATAAGTTATATGTAATTAATTCCCATGTATACAAGAATCAACTCTTCCATATTTGCAATTTATTTACATATATCTATGTTAGTTTTAGTTATGTTTGAACAATATGGGAATAAACTTCTTATTTCAAATTTTTCTGCGTGAGAAAGTTGACAAACAGATTTCTGGGATTTTCAAAATTTTGCCATAATTGATCTTTCATATTATTGTTGCAATATTAGAAATGTCTATATGCCTGCATCCTTTGTTTAGCTTTTATTTTTACATGATAGTCATAGTACAGAATATAATTTTGCTTTATGTTTACAGTATGCTCTGGTGCTAATGTTTCTCAATCTTATCAGTTTGAGGCATATTATAAAAACTTAACTAGAGTGAAAATTTGATCTGGTGTTTCTCTATTTCACCTATTACTGATGACAATACGAACTTTTATGTAAATACTCAAACTATTACTGAGAGATTCTAGATTCCTTTTTCGCTTTTTCCATATAATAGCTTTCCACATGTAAAATGTATGAAATCAAAGGACCAACAAAAAATGATGCACATTAAGTACTGTATGAATATGTAAAATGAGAGAATTCTGCATCCAGAAAAAAGTTAATCTCTGCCATTATATGTCCACAAAGTTGGGGTTTTAGTATCATATACACCAATGTCTTACGAGAACCGAGATATTGGGCTCAGCAAACTCAATCAGACCTGAACCAATCCAAAGCTGGCGGATCTTACAACAAAGCTATATTTGGAATGTCAATTCAACTGAACAGTGAGTACATTTTTTTACTTGTTCCCTCATGTTTGGCAACAGATTAGCTTTGTTATGTCAAGGGTAGTTGTGTCTGGAAAGGAAAACTCCAACTTTGCAGACACCCTGTATAAGTTGAAGTAGAAGGGTAAAATAATAAATTTTTCATACCTGTTGTGCCATATTGAGTGATTCAGCAGTAAGATTCTCAATAAAGGAAACAGCACAGCAAAGGTTTGTAAAATAGTACCCTGCTTCTCCTTGCATCAATCTAGCACCATAACAAAACCTTGTAACATACAACATATTGCTCTTTAACCTGGCAGGATTTGCTTTCAGCACAATGAATATAAGTGCTGGTAGAAATTCATCAGCACTAACTGGCCCACCTTGGCAATGCTGCAACACTTCCACAACACTGCGACAGCATCTGACTACACAGGCTAGTTTTTCTTGTGGGGCTTTCATAGAATCCATGCCTAGTAAGTCATTTATTGCTGTATAAACTAAATCTCTTACTTCAATACTTGTCTCACTGATACAGCAATCTAGATGATGTGCATTAACCCAGCTCAGTTTTCTAATACGATCTTGAATAGAGAGATCCTTATCTTCATCATTAGTTGATGGTGGACAGAACAGAAATGTGTATAAGCCAACCATGCTGTATCTCTCAAAGAAGTCTAACAGCTTATCTCTGACGTCTGGTGTGACATTTTGGTACACAGTGTTGTTGTTCAAACGATTGTTGTAAGAGTTGTAATAGTTTTGTGCAATGTCTGCCAGTTCGTCTGCTGATTTGAAATCCAATTCATGGATGATCTTTGATGTGAACGAGTGTACACATTTCAAAAAGTCCTTCCTGACTGCTTCACCCCATTCACCATAGGCAGATATGAATTCAGCAAGCAACTTATCTGCATCTGGATTCATTTGCCTTATATCAATGTACTTTTCAGGTCTTCCAGTTTCTTTGAGACTTGAGGGTTTTCTAAATACTGGCAGGAAGTATTTCGTTTTCTTGTCACTCTGTTGCCTTTTCTTCTCTTCAAATTTTGAGAAACTAGTCGCTTTAGAATGGTCCCCATGTTGAGACTGATTAGACTTCCTTTGACGTTCTTTGTCCATATGGTTCCTGTAGCATTTGGAGCAGTAGCCCTCCCAATCTGCATTTCCAAAATACCCGCATCCATTTTTGCATTTCAAATCAGCCTGCTTTATCCTTAAAGAGGGTTGCTTTGTGGCATACATGTTTTTGGAAGTCTGCTCGACTGGAATAGGTATAATTTCTGTGTTGTAATTTATGATGCTTGATTAAGGGTGGCTGCAATACCAAAGTTAAAAGTCTTATGTGTTTTCTGTTTTGTGGTTAGTGATTTGGAACATTTTAACTTTTTGTTTTATAGGTTAGATACACAAAACATATACACTGAAGAACACAAAACATATACACTGAAGAAGGTTTAATTCCATGCTATTCAATGGCGACACGGTGACTTGTGTGGTTGTCAGCGACCATTTTTTGAGGGTGACATGGTTGCCAGATTGTGTATCAATATCCCGCAACGTTGCCAGCTCTACATATAAATCTGAGATTGCTATACTTTTATATATAGAAATTTGGTGGGACATGGCAGATATTATAACAGCATGTACTGTTAACATTTTGAGCTATCTTGACGAATAAGTGCTTTTTTGTATGTTAAAATAGTAACGTCAATAACACAAGCTGAGATAAGATCACTCTACTTACTCATCTGGAAAGGTTCAAAAGAAAAACATATATTGCAAATAACTAAATATATATTCATTATATAAATCTGACACATTTTTCTACAAACAAATCAGTATTAACATCATTTTGGTCCAGATGTTTTCATTCCCCAGCCTTTGTTGGCACCTACAAAAATAAAAAATTAGGAAACAATTGTTGATATGTTACTAAAATTTCAAATTTCATTTTTTAAAAGAACAATATTATTGTACATGGGTACCCACAGGAGATAACTTTTTGTGAAATTGTACCTGCCCCCAAAAATTATTGATGAGCAGAGGCAGCAATTTTCTCAGGAAGGGACAAATCATAAAAATTCTCAAAGTTGTACGCAAAAGCATGCTAAATATGCAAACATTAAAGTCAAAGCAGATTCCCAGAAGAGAACATGGCTCCTCTGACACCATCCTGTGGGCACCCATGTTATTGTTCAATAACAACATGTGGCTTCGATTTCATTGCAACTATAGTGACCTTTGCATATCAACTCTGCTGCTCTGAAAATAGCTGATTTAAAATGAAGTATGGAAACTAATTTGGACAAACAGCAGTACAAAACATCACTGGTTATCGAGTCATATAAAAACTTACAAATGTTATGGTCTGCAAAAATCCTTCAGAGCTGTGCCTTTTGGTTAGATTAGAAGCAATCTTCGAGCTTCCGATAGTTCACAGGTCCTCAAAGGTTGACAACGGCAGCTTTTGAACTTCTCGTAGCGCTCTACTGTTCAAAAAGTGATGTGGAGATACAAACAGGTATGATCTTCAAATATTACATTTCTCAAATGAGTAACCGCTGCATCTCTGATCTTCCTCAGGATCTGCCAGAAGCCTGGCTACTGACTGGGATCATTTGGATCACCTTAAAAAAAGAAATGGTTTTGATTTGGAGTTTTTTTTTCTATTCGTCATTGTGTCAAAGCGGTCCGTAGGACCTTTGCTCTTGGTTAATTGGAGTTTGTCTTATAGTATATACAAATATGTTACAGCCTTAAGTACTTACATTTTTATACTTCACAACTCTGAACAAAAGGCATGTCTCAAATAACATAATAGGGACTTTATTCAATTTAAAATGAAATGTTTATGTTACGCTTGGTTACGCAAACCGAAAATGGCTTGCTGAAAAAGTACGGTTATTTATGCACAGCATGGGAAGAAACCCGCCGGAAATTTAAATCTGACCAATCAGACAACGTCAGTTGTGAATAAGCGGCCATTTTTTTAGGGTGGGACATGGTTGTCATATTGTGCGCCAGCAACACTGCTTTGTTTCCCATTGGCCCATATGAGTTTCACCCCCTGCTAAAGAAGGTTTAATTCCATGCTATTCAATATTCAATGGCAACACGGTGACTTGTATGGTTGTCAGCGGCCATTTTTTGAGGGTGCGACAAAGTTGCCAAATTGTGCATTAATATCCCGCAACGTTGCCAGCTCTACATATAAATCTGAGATTGCTGTACTTTTGTATATAGAAATTTGGTGGGATATGGGAGATCTTATAACAGCATGTGTTATTAACATTTTGCGCTGTATTGACGAATAAATGCTTTTTTTTGTATTTTAAAATAGCAACGTCAATAACACAAGCTGTTATAAGATAACTCATATCTACTTACTAATATGGAAAGGTTCAGAAGAAAAACATATACTGCAAATACCTAAATATATATTTGTTATATAAATCTCATACATTTTTCTACAAACAAATCAGTATCAACATCATTATGGTCCAGATGTTTTCATTCCCCAGCCTTTGTTAGCACCTGCATAAATGAAAAATTAGAATTAAATTTAATTGTGTCGATATGGGGGAATTTTTCTCAGATGTGCTGATCATCATCAAGAGATAACTGTTACCACACCCCCCTGAAGGCACCCATGTCATTGTTCAATAACAATACTTGGCTTTGATTTCATAAAAATTATAGTGAGCTTCACATATCAACCCTACTGCTCTGACAATAGTTGATTTAAAATGAAGTATAAAAACTTACTTGGACAAAAAGCAGAACAAATCATCACTAGTTATTGAGTCATATAAAAACTTACAAATGTTATGTTCTGCAAATATCCTTCAGAGCTGAGCCTTTTGGTTAGATCAGAATTAATCTCCTGAGCATCTGATACTTCTTAGGACCTCAGGGGTTGCCAACGGCAGCTGTTGAACTTTTTGTGGCGCTCCACTGTTCAAAGAGTGATGTGGAGATACAAATAGGTACGATCTTCAAATATTACATTCCTAAAATGAGTAGCCGCTGCATCTCTGATCTTCCTCAGGATCTGCCAGAAGCCTGGCTAATGACTTGGATCACCTTAAAAAAGTAACAGTTTTGATTTGGAGTTTGTCTTATAGTATTTACAAACATAGATATTACAGCTTTGTATACTTACATTGTTAAATTTCACAACTCCGAACAAAAAGCATATGGCTCAAATAACATCATAGGGACTTTATTTAGTTAAAATAAAATGACAGAGCACAGGAAGAAACCCGCCGGAAATTTAACTCTGGCCAATCAGACGTCAGTTATGAATAAGTCGCCATTTTTTGAGGGTTCGACATGGTTGTCATATTATGCACTAGCAACACTGCTTTGTTTCGCATTCGCCAACATGAGTTTCACCACAGCCTTCTTAAACTAACTAGTTTAAGAAGGCTGTGGTTTCACCCCCCTGCTGAAGAAGGTACAATCCCATGCTATCCATAGGGCAACACGGTTGACTTCTGACAGTGTCAAGCCGCCATTTTTTTTATTTAACATGGTTGCCAAACTGCACGAACGCTACATGCGAGGTTACCAGCTCTTCTCATAAATCTGAGAATATATTTTTATCTAAATTTTATACATTGTGCTAGGGAAATAATATTAACTTTAAGAGGTGATTCCCTGCATTTTTCTAAGCAAAAACGTTCATTATAACTTCTGTCCGAAAATCAACCATTTCGGAGCAAAAAAATGTAGAACTTATTTCTTTTTAGTCATGAAATAAATTAATTTTACCCCTTAATAATTTAAATTCGTATGCCTAATAGCGTAAAATATATCAATACATCTATTTCTATAACTGTCTCTAATAAAATAATATTCTTGCTTATTAAATACAGGTTCTGAAGAAAAAGAGACAAACAAGATCCCTCACACAACTGTCAACGTCGTACTCTGCCTGCACTGCATGTATCATCGAGTGTTGGGATTACTAATACATTTAACTGTAACTTTATGTTTATGTGTGTTTCAAATAAGTGACTGATGATAATCGTGGGAATTGGTGGTGTGTATCGCCACGTACCGGTAAGTTCTGTTATTTTATTTTTAAGTAAATGTACTGTACTGAAAGTGTTATTGAATAAAAAATATTAGCCACAAACAATTGCGTAAAAGTATTCAATAATTCAAGGCATATTTTCAACATATAATAAAAAATTTAGATAAAAATATCAAGTATAGGTTTTTACTGTTCTCAAATTTTCAAATAACTAGGATATACGTACGATTTCATAATGGCCTGTGTTATTGACGCTGCTGCTTTAACATAAAATTGCAAAAATATGTTAATAACATATGGCGATATAAAATCTTGTGGAGAGCCGGCGACGTCGCATGCGGTGGTTGTGCACAATCTGGCAACTTCGTGGAATCCAGAAAAAATGGCGATTGACACTGACGTAACTCAACCGTTGTTGTCCTATGGATAACATATGACTAAACCTTCTTCAGTGTATATGTTTTCTGTGTTACACCCAGAAAAAAAAAACTTGTTTTTTTGCCCCATAATGACTATATATAAAGCATTTTATCTCTTCGTTTTTGTGAAGAAAGCAGTTTCTGAGAGCTGAGTAATACAGATATCTTTAGTTATTGCTCTTTCATTTACTAGTGTTAAGCATAACAAAGATGCCTGTGAAGGTAGCTCCAAAAGCTGGCTCGACAATCCTACCCGCCGCTAGATTACAGTAGACCGAATAAATGCTGTCCGCCTGTGATACGCCGTGGCCGTAGTGAAGGTCTATTCGTCTATTCAAACTCAGCCGTGACGTGAGAGTGCCGTGACGTGCTAGTGATTCTTGCTAACGTGAGCCCAGTGTTTTCAATCACACCGGTCAGTATTTTTCTCTGTGCTCTGACCCTCTGACAGTGCAGTTGTGTTCACGTGGGGTCGAGATGGCAAAATTTTCAGAGGATGAACTTACAATTATTGCATTAATTCTGAATTTTTTTATATACTCCAACTACCACGAAGGCCTAAGGCCTAAACACCCATGGGTACCGTGGGACTATAGGGGGATACAGGGGTAAGGGGGGGACGCCACACGGACTCTGGCGAACACGTGGCCATGCAACATGCACACATTCTGGCCCCGCCTACGAGATCCGCCGTGTGGTATCTCCGCGTTCGACAGTCAGAGACCGTCTACCACCTACGAAAGATGAAGAAGAAGAATACGGAAGTCCATGTATTTTGAATTTGACTGGTTCTACAGCACGGGATGTACGCGTACAAATTCGACTAGTTTTTCATCATTCATGTTTTTGACCAATTATATCAAAATATTCACGAAATTACATAAAAACGCGGCCGTGAAAATCGAAAAATATTGTTCCAAAACAATGAGATGATCACGGTACGGCGTCGTCGAGGGCACTGAAAATACGGCCGGTCTAGTGTGAATCAGTTCATCCAAATTACAGGAAGAATGTTTTTAGTTTCGCCGGACGGATCACGTGCCGGTCACAGCACTGTCACGTCATGGCTGAGTATGAATATGCCTTCACTCATAGAAGCCCCTAAATTATTATTATATAATCATATTTTCCATAAAACTTTTACATTCTGATGTTAGCAATGTTTCGGAAA